GAGGAGAGTATAGAATGAATGGGAGTTAGGGTTTGGGAGTTACCTCAGCTCCTTTATATAGAAGCAAAACATTTACCTGAAGTCCCCAAAATACTCTGGCCGACTTACGGGAAATGTCCAAAATACCCCGGTCAATTCGCATTCCGTCCACCTCCTAGTCAGCATCCAAATTCCTTCTTATCCTTGATAGCTTCATTATGATATGCTGAAGTATATAGGAGTCGTCGGAGGTCTTGGAGCCTCGAGGCATCCTAAGTCGACTTAGGGTATTGTCGAGTTGACTTAGGTCATTCCCAAACGTTGGTAGATCATGATGCGCCTATCCGTCTTCTGAGGGAAGTCGACTTATGGATGTTGACTCTGGAGATCGACTGATAGAGTCACCTGGACCTTGTTAGGCCGGAGACAGTTCCCAGGAGATTCATAGGAGGAATCGACTTCGCGGAAGTCGATTCGATGCAATCGACTAGAGTGGGTCGACTATCATGCCTGCTGCTCGGTCGTCAATTTGGGTTGAACCGTTATGCCTCAGTATGGCTATATCATTATTATTATTGTTGTTGTAGTTATTATTATTATTATTATTATTATTATTATTATTATTATTATTATTATTATTATTGTTAATTGATTAATTACTATATTGCTAATAAATACATATTATATATTATTGTGTATTGTATATATATATATATATATATGTATATGCTTGTCTGTTATTTATTTATTCGCAACGTTTTATCGAACTGAGCCCGAATATTCGTAAGTAATGAACCGAACCATTTTATTCGTGTAGTCGAACCAAACCGAGAGAACCGGCATTTGAAATCGTGAACTCGCCCATAGCCAAGGACCCGTGCCCCGCCCGTGGTTCGAAGGCCCGCGCCCCATACCTGTTTCTTTCCCTCCCTTGGTTGCTTGATGGCTAAGTTAGGGAGATTAATTAACCCTAATATTATATATATTAGTATCACTCCCGCAGCTTTTCATTTATCTGCTCTCTCAAGCCCTCGTGCTCTCAATCTCTCGTCCCTCTCTCACACTTTTAAAAAAAAAACCCAAGCCAGCTAGGGATTTACATTTGTTTGATTTGAGGATGGAATAATTGAAGGTAGGAATTATTTCCCAAAGGAAGGCAACACGCATAGGATTTTTTTGAGAGAAAATAAAAATTGCCGCCTGCACTTTCGGTTCTGTTGGAAAAAATACGGTGAAATTTCTATGAAGTCAGATCTATAAAAGTGAAATAAAAAAGAAAAATTAGACACACCAAATTGATAACGGAGTTCGGCCAATAATGCCTACGTTTTCGGACTACTGCAGATATTTTATTAGAAGAAAAGAAAACACTCGTGTTTACAAAACACTCGCAAACTCACTTACAACTCACAACACAAATACACACAGAAGCTAAAACTTCCGCTCCGTGTTCCCTCTCTCTTTTCTCTCTTTCTCTCTTGTGTTGGTATATTTTTGTTGTGTAATTGCTCATCAGAAACCCCCTCAATTTATAGAGGGGGAAGTGCACCATTTTCCACAAAAGTCTGCTTCCCTGCTGCTTTATTTTTTTCAATTGTCGTGTGCTGCAATAATTAAAAAAGACTGCCTCTTTTCTTTCAATTGTGGCGGCTAGATTAACAATCTCCCACTTAAGGACTGATTTCAATCTGTCCTCACACCTCAATTACTGCAGTAGTCTTCTCCGGTCTGTTATTCTATCAAGCCAACTGAAGTTGAGCACAACTTCAGTTTGTCAATGGTCATCACCTTCGTTAGCATATCTGTTGGGTTCTTGCTTCCTACAATCTTCTTCAATGTCAACACTTCATCCTCAAGAAGAGATCTGATGAAGTGATATCGTATGTCAATGTGCTTAGTTCTGGAGTGAAACACTGAGTTCCTTGCTAGATGTATTGCACTCTGACTGTCACTGTGCAAGACACTCTCTTTTTGAGTGAATCCCAACTCTGCTAACAATCCTTCAAGCCATATCAATTCTTTACTGGCTTCTGTCACTGCTACATACTCAACCTCTGTAGTG